ACATGACACAACAGAAGAATAGGTAAATGATACAATCTCTTACAGAAGAAATAAAAATAGCTAGTAAATGTATGAAAAGTTGCTTAACTTTACAAATTATTAGAGAAAAATAATTTAAAGGAATGAGATTAGATTTTCCATCCAAAATATTGACGAAAGTCAAAAATAACAGCATTCAGCATGCCAGGAGGGCAATTTAGCTCAAACATGTTCATCCAGAAATTATATTTCTCAGGTACCAGCTCTTTAAAATCATTGTAAAAGTGCAAAAAATTGTAAAGATGCTTTATATAGCATTATCTATATTAGCAACAAACTGTTAACAACCAAAAGATCTATCATGTGGAAAGAATTGAATAAAAAATTGTAAAGATGCTTTATATAGCATTATCTATAATAGCAACAAACTGTTAACCTAAAGATCTAATGTGGAAAGACCTGAATAAATAATATAGTACTCCCTACTCTGAAATTTTCTGTAGCTGTTTTATAAAATGACTTTCTACTGAGCAGGACAAAAGCAAGTTGTAGAATATATGTATAGGATGTTAATTTTATGTTAATAATATAATTATAATATTATATTATTATATTTTATTATGTTACAATAATATAACATTTATTGTCAATAATAATAACATATCAACACTTTTCACTCCCTGTTATGTTTTTTCATTTTCTAAAACAAATGAGAATACATTCAAGTAAATAAAAAAAAGTATGAGGAAGTTAACAAAACAAAGAGTCATGGCTATCTCTGGGAGATAGGATTAGGAGGATATTTTCACTTTTTACTTTATACACTACTGCTTTTTTTTTACTTTTTACAATAAACATGTATTACTTTTATAATAAAAAATAAGCCCACCCTATAAAACACACACACACATATATATACACATATATAGGTATATATATGGAATATACATATATACATACATATGTGTATATATGGAATATACATATATACATACATATGTGTATATATGGAAACATAAAAAAAGTGATTTGAAATCTGACTACACAGAAGCAATTATTGTTAACATATCAACACTTTTCACTCCCTATTATGTATTTTTCAACATATTTTGGATCATGCGCTATGTAATTTTGAGCTCGTTTTTCAATAAATATAATATTCTATTTCCCTATGTCAATAAAAACACATTAACATAAAGTTTAAATATATTTTAATTTTGAAAATAATGCATGTTCAAAATAGAAAATTTCAAGAACAAAGAACCAAAAGAATAAAAATCCCATGTAGTCTTACTACCCACAGATAAATTACTTTAAAAAATAATGAAAGACAAATGTACAGAAAGGGATTAATAATCCTTAGATTGTGCTCACTGTCTCATTGATTCATGCAAGGCCCTCTTTTATTTTTACCCATTAACTTGCCTTTTTATTGAATGTTAATAATAATCATAAAATTATTAAATAATCAATAATGGGATTTCAAATACATAATGACACCAACCACTACCCAACACATGAGTACTAGAATATTAACCATAATATGAATTCATTTATAGTCCTCCCATATTCTGACCCTCTTTCCTCAACCCCAGTGACCATTATCTTCAATTTTTAAATTATTTTTTGCTTTTTAATAAATTATTTTTGTATGCTGTGTGTATGTAGCCCTAAATAATATAGTGCTTAGTTTTACTTGTTTTTGAATAATACAAAAAGGATATCCTATTATATGTAGTCTTTTGAGACATGATATCTTAATATTCTAGAAGTAAAATCTACCCACATTATGTGTAGCTGTAGAACATTCATATGATGACTATATAATATTTTATGTGAAACATACTATGATTTATCCATTTTCTTTTTGGGACTTTTACTACTAACATTTTAGTGTATCTCTTCTAGTTATTTTCCTGAAGGCATTTAGTTTTCCTTCTACAAAACATGAATATTATACATATTTTCGTGACCTATTTCTCTCACTGGTGATACCTTATGAACATATTCCCATTTCAGTAAATATTCTTCCATGGTATAAATTTAAATGACTGCACAGTATTCCATTAGATAGTTACAATACAATTTTCTAACCACCCCAACCGTTAGACATATGATTGCTTGTAATTTTTTTGCTGTGATTATGATGCACATGGTCTTGTTTGGCTCAGCAACTCTCCTTTTAGAAATTTATCCTAAGTAATATGCAAACACATCTGCACACAAATATGTACAGGGACGCCATGTAGAATGACAGTTTCTGTTCCTCACACCTTACATAAAGTATGTGCTGATCACAGAAGTTTTTATAATACAAGAAAATTGGAAGGAACTTAATGCTCACCCATAGGAGATGGAGTAAATAAATTATATATTAAAATTATTACATAGCTGCACAGTTACTGACATAGAAAGTTGTTCACAATTTATTGCTAAGTGTAAGAAAGAAATAGGTTAAAATGCAGTATGATTACATTTTGTACAAGAAAATATACCAGTGAAAGTGTCTAGAAGAGCATATACAAAAATCTTTACAGTGATTATCTCTGGATATTGAAATTATTTGAGAATTTATTTTTTTCACTTTGCTAACATATATTTTGAAGTGTTTCCAACAGTAAAACTTGATTCTATGTACAAGAAAAACGATGAATAAATAATAGTTTTGTGCACAATTGTTTAAATATTTTTCCTGAATAGAAAATACCTGTACATTGTAAGAACTTAAAAATAAAAGAATATATAGCAGAAAATAAAATCATACATAATCCAACCTATCCAGTGATAATTAGTTTAGAGTCCCCAATACATTTACTTCTAGTCATTTGTCACTGATTATATATTTTTAAATAGTTGCCATCACACTTTATGTAACCTTGTATGCTGATTTTTCACTTAACTTGTAAAATGAATATGCCACAGTATTTTAACGGAAGAATATTCCATCATAGGTACATGGCACATTTACTTAGTCATTCCCTTAATGTTAGATTAAGGTTTTTCTGTTTTTCACTATACCAAATAACTATGTGAGGAGTATCTTTGTGCATGAATTATCCACATTTCAGATAATTTCCTTGGATGGATTCCTTGAAGTGGAATATACTAAACCAAAAAGTATATTTTTATATCCCTTGATATATATTTTCCAATAGTACTTCATATATATTTTAAGGCAAAATGAGTAGCAGGGAAAACAAAGAGGTCAAAACAGCTGGGTCCCATGGCTATTGTTAGCACTCAGATTAGTAAAACTGATATATAAAAATCTTTTTTATTTAAGTCACAAGGCTATATTGTGAGAACCAAATGAGAATACAGATTCTTCAGAGTCACAATAAATATTACTTCTTTAGGAATGCTTTCCTTGATTTTCCAGACTCCCAGTTACTTTTTCTTCATGGCCTTACAATGGATAAGTAATTTTTCGATTATCTGTACGGTTGTTTGTTTCCCACAGATGATTTTAAGCTTTATCAAAACAAACCTGGCATACAGTTAGCGCTCAATAAATATTTGTTGAATGAATGAATGAATGAATGAGGTGACAGCACTCTATAAAGTATAAATCATTAGACATTCAGAAGGTATTTCTATTTTAATTGGTATTATTATTGTTCCTTTTTGTTACATTATAGATGATTTTAAATCTTTAGAGAGTCCCTGCCTAACTGTAAAAATTTAATTATGTGGTTTTCATGGTTTTCACGTCAGCCAGAGGCCTGGGTAGCAACATTGCTGAAGGTACCTGGTGGGAGCTGAGACTTAGAGAACCAAGTAGTTAGTTCTCTAGATTAGCATGCTGCGATTTAAGGAGTTGTAGCTACCATTAGTTGGATACAACGCAGTGGTCAGGAACCCAGGAAGCAGGTAGATGCTGGAGGTTAGAAACAAACTAAAGGTAAGTGCTCCACATAGTAAGGTACAAACTGGAGAATAGTCAGTAATAAGGGATTCAAACAGATAGAAGAGATAAATTCCAAGCACCAGTACTCAAAGCATGGAGCTATGAATATGATTCTGAAGCAAAGGGTAATTGAACTCAGTGCTTCCTTATGGTATCAGAAAGTGTTTGCACCTACTTCCATATACAGGACCAAGGGGATGGTAGTAGCTGGTTGGGGAATAAAAGCTGTGCATACAAATAGACTCTGGCAGTGACAGGATCAAGCGAGACCATTTGTATATGGAATTGTATAATATTTTTGGATCACATCATTCTATCATGATTTTAAACAGCAGATATCACAACATAATGGTTACAATCATGGACTCTCACAACAGGCTAGCCAGGTCCGGCTCCATTATTTAGTAGTTGTGTCCTATGGACAATTTACTTCACCTCTGTGTGCCAGTTTCCTCATCTGTAAAATAGGGATAATGATGGTACCTAGCTTCAATGGGTTGTTGTGAAGATTAAATGAGTTAATGCATGTAAGGATCTTAGAACAGTGCCTGGACGTAGCAAATGCTATGTTAAGTGTTGTTGTTATTATTATTATATTATTCTTTGGTCACATAAGACCAACGCTAAAAATTGATATCATTTAAAATGGACAAATAATACACTACATGTTAACTTTACCTAAAATACCAGTCTTAAACAGGAATTTTTCTCATTAAATAAAAATTTCACTTAGACCTAAACATAGTCAACTGTATAAAAACTGTAAGCACTAGTGAAGTAGTAAAATTTATTGCAGCAGTCCTATTTGTTTATTCTGCAGAAGTTTTATTGTGGACATTATTTTTAAAAGTTGTAGAGATTAAATACACATTTCCTAATTGTAAAAAACACAAACTGCAGTACAGTTGGTTCATAAGATCTAGTCTATAAGGAGGAATGTCCCATTAAATGTTTTTGAAGCTAATTCAACTAGAAGCAGAAATAGTTGAGTTGGAAGATTTTTCTGTAGAGTGATTTTAACATGGGAAGGCTCAGACAAGGGAAGCCTAGATTTGAAAAGGCCTGGACCTGGGGAAAGGTTGGAAGATCTGGACTATAGAATATGTTAGAATACCTGGATATTGCAGACACTGGAAGACCTGAATGTTAGAAGATCAGCACACTGGAGACGTTGGAAGACACGGATATTGAGCCAGTTGATGGAAGACTGGGTAGTTGTTGGAAGACATGAAGATGCTGGAAGACACAGAGATGCTGGAAGACGGGGAGATGTTGGAAGACGAGCTGATGCTGGAAGCCCTGGAGATGCTGGAAGACCTGGAGATACAGGAAGACATGGATTTGTTGGAAGACGTAGCTTAGTTGGAAGACATATAGTTTCCGGAAGATGTGGATTTTCTGGAAGACATGGCTTGGTTGGAAGACATGGATTTTCTGGAAGACGTACCTTTGTTGGAAGACGTACCTTTCTTGGAAGACGTACCTTTGTTGGAAGACGTACCTTTGTTGGAAGACGTACCTTTCTTGGAAGACGTACCTTTGTTGGAAGACACAGGTAGGCTGGAAGACATTAATTTGATGGAAGACATGGCTTTGTTGGAAGACGTGGATTTGCTGGAAGACACAGATTTCCTGGAAGACCTGGATTTTTCGGAAGCTATGGATTTGAGGGAAGACAAGGATTTTCTGGAAGACGTGGATAGTCTGGAAGACATGGCTTTGTTGGAAGACGTGGATTTGCTGGAAGACACAGATTTCCCGGAAGACGTGGATTTTTTGGAAGCTATGGATTTGAGGGAAGACAAGGATTTTCTGGAAGACATGGATAGTCTGGAAGACCTGGAGGCCATTGGAAGACGTGGATTTTCTGGAAGACATGGCTTTTTTGGAAGATTAGATTTTCAGGAAGACCCGAATTATCCGGAAGACCTGGATTGTTGGGAAGACGCGGATTTTCTGGAAGACTGGGAGGTTACTGGAAGACTGGGAGGTTACTGGAAGACATGGATTTTCTGGAAGACATGGATTTTCAGGAAGACGTGGATCTTCAGGAAGACATATATTGGCTGGAAGACCTGGATTTTTTCCGGAAGACGTGGATTGACTGGAAGACCTGGATTTGGTGGAAGACATAGATTTTTCTGGAAGACGCTGACTGACTGGAAGACCTGGATTTCTTTCCGGAAGACACTGATTGACTGGAAGATCTAGATTTTTCTGGAAGAACTAGATTTACTGGAAGACTTGGATTTGGTGGAAGACGTAGACTTTTCTGGAAGACATGGATTAGCTGGAAGATCTGTATTTGATGGAAGACCTTGAAATTATTGGAAGACACGTATTTTCTGGAAGACGTGGATTTTCCTGGAAGATCTGGATTTGGTGGAAGACCTATAATTGCTGGAAGACTGGATTTACTGGAAGACTTGGAGCTTCTTGGAAGACGTGGATTGTCCGGAAGACATGGATTGTCTGGAAGATGTTGATTTTCTGGAAGCTCAGGATTATCTGGAAGACCTTGAGATTGTTGGAAGACTTGAAGTCGCTGGAAGACCCGGAGTTGTTGGAAGACCTTGACACTGGCGCCATTGGAAACCCTGGACATTGGAAACATTGTAAGCACAGGATATTGGAGACATTGCAAGCCTTGGATTCTGAAGACATTGGTTACACTGGACATTGACGATTCTGGAGGCCCTGAACATTGGGATATTGAATATTGGAAGTCATAGACAGTGAAATCTCTGGAAATTAGAGATATTGTAAGTCCTGTACCTTGGAACTCCTAAATACTGGCAGATATGAACAACAGCAAGATATAGACATTTATAAATCCTAAAATGAGAAGCCCTGGATTTTGGGAGACATTGGTAAGCATGGATACTGACATATTTATGTCAAAAGACAGTTTGGAAGAATTAAATTTTAAAGATGCTGGACGTCAAGAATACTGGCAGTCTGGACAATATGAGACCAGGATATTGAGAGGTCTATTCATTCAGACATTGAGGATATTGATGTACCTGAAAATTGTAAGACCTAGTTCTTGCAGGTATTAAAAGACTTGGGCATTGGAGGAATTGGCAATAAAAATACACTGTAAAACTAGAATGTAGGAGACATTTAAAAATGTAAAAACTGTGTGATGTAAGTGCTGGAAGACATTGAAGAATCTAGACTTAACACTATGAGATACATAGCCTCTAGAACACCTGTATATAGGAGACATTGGAGGATTAGGACCATGGAAGACTTGTAATTTAGAACTCTGGATCCTGAAAGACAAGACCTGGACTTTGAAGATGGGTTGTTGGAGATATTAGTAAGACCTAAATTTTTAATAACTTGAATACTGGGAAGTTTAGAAAACAAGGGCATTGGAGATGCTGCAGGACAGGGACTGGAATGCATGGATGTTATAATATTGGGAAGATCTGGCAATTAAAGATGTTGGAAGCTTTGGAGCTTAGAAGACTTGAGTTAGAGAAACTGAAGAACAGAAAGGCCTAATCTTAATAGTATTGGAAAGTCATGCTGAAAGATAGTAGCAATATTCAAAGAGTTGTGTATTAGGGCCTAGATATTAAATTAAAAGACATCATGAGACTACTCTTGTAGTCTTTAATACTATTGCATCTCTTCTGCTAAAAAGCAGAACACAAGGAAATAGTATTCTAGGAAGGTGAGAAAGAGAAGGCAGGGAAATTCAAGAAAAAGCAAATAGTTTGAATGGGTTGGAAGCTATTTTCATAGTCTCGATGAACTGGCCTTATTAGTTAACAAGATGGGAATGGGAAATTATCAAAGAATAAGCAGTATCTAGGTTGAGAGAACTGCTTGGCTTTAGATCAGGGATCAACAAACATTTTCTGTAAAGGTTCAGAAGTAAATATTTAAGGTTTTACAGGTTACATTGTCTCTGTTGCAACTACTCAACTCTCCCATTGTAGTGCAGTCACGGACAGTAAGTAAATGAATGGGGATGGCTGTGCTGCAATAAAACTTTACTTAAAAAAAAATGGTTGGGCTGCATTTGGCCCAAGGGCCTTAATTTGCTATGCCCTGCTCTAACGCCAAATCAAGGATATGGTAAAGTTAAGTACATTCCAGCCTAGCATTCACATATGAGAACAAGCAGAGAACAAGAGAACTTGTTCTCACATGGAGAACAAGCAGAGAAAATTGAAGCCGAATGGTAAATAACAATATCATATGCTGTAATGATAGGAGATGAAACTGGCAAGAACCTAAGAATTTAGATTTCTAGGTAATTGTTTGGACAATTGCCCAAACAGGGAGCCTTGTATTTAGAGCCAAAATTAAATGGGTTGCATTCAGGGGCCCAACCAACAGGGCTGAGGATCGATGAGGATGTCCTGATTTAATTAAATAAGCTGGAAGCTTAAGTAAATTAGAGAAGAAACCTACCCCTACAGACTGGACATCTATGGAGGGGAACAGGAAAAAGATTATAGCTTGGTAGACTCTTCCCAGGCACCCTGGCTTCAGGTAATATATGTAATTTCTTAAGTAACAAAGAGCTTAAGTGACAAGCTTAAGGGATCAGACTTGAGCTGTGGGCTGAAGGCCCTTAGTACTTAGATAAGGCTGAGGAGTCAGGAACTATCACATATATTACATGAAAGAGAACACTGGCATACAAAACTGGGAAAGTACACTGGAACTAGGCCATGCATGATTTAAAGACCAAGTAGTGGAATATATAGACAATGGGTGGTCATTAGACGTCTATGAACAAGGAGGTATTGGAATCAGAACTGTACATAAGGAAAGTCAGTTGAGCAGCAAGGTGCTGAATAGCAAAGACTACTAGATATATATAGTAGAACACCTAATACTCCAAGCTAAAACACTTAAAGGGTTGGGATGTGAGGCTAATACAGTTATGTAGGTAAGTGGTAGTGGGGGCTAGAATTAAGGCAGTGACATTTCTGTCACTCAGCAGACACAGCATCAGTTATAATGAATACTTAGCATTCTGAATAACACTATTTTAAACTTCTTGAATGCCATCATAGAATACATGAAATTCAAAGAAGTTCAGAAGCCAGCTGTGAGGAATTTTCCTAGCCTAGTAAGATTACATAGACCTACACAAATTCTCTCAAAAGGCAGCTGAGCTAATACCTTGGTGGTCAAGCAAAAACAGGTCCTATTTAGCTTTATCTTTACCCCTATATCACAGCTACCTAATTTTCTTTAAAGTGGAAACAAGTGGATGGATTATTTTCTAGAGAATAAGAACATATCCATGTCCAAAACTGAGATTACCTCTAGTCACTACACAAATAAATGTTATGCAATGATAACCATATTATAGCATGAAGAATCACTGCAAATCAGGGAGTAACTTACAGGCAAGCAAATTATTGTTTCATGTATCCCTCATCAGCAAACAAAAAGAAATACTAAAACTCATTTTTAAACTTCCTTCTCTCATCTTAAAACCATCATGCATACCTTAATTTGAGGGAAATTAAGTATCAAAATGTGAAAATTTTGCAAAGATAGGCACGAACTCTCATATTCTGGTTGCACAATGCTTATTCATATAATAATAATAACAATTTATTGAGCGCTTACTATGTGCCAGGCACTGTACTAAGGATTTCATATAATCTTATAGCAATCCTACAATGCAGGTATTTTTGACCCCATTTTACAGATCAGAAACTGAAGTCTGGAATGGTTAAGAAATAAGCCCACAGTCACACAGCTGGTAATTGGTAGGGGCAGGATTTGAAAGCAGATCCGTGTGATTACAAAACCTTGGCTCCATGCTGATTCTCCACAACCCCAATAACCCAGGGGTGGTACTGCCAGGACTAAGTGCCACTCACCCAAAAAGAGGGTGCCCCCAGTCCAGAGCAGACAGGAAGCCAAGAAGTCACTGGCAGAGCTCTCCCTTTAAGTTCCATTTTCTTATCATTGTGATACTCACCATACCACTGCCAAGTAGTCAAGAACCAATTCTAGGTGTTTGCAAAGATGAATGAATTATATCTTTAGCTTTATGTAGGAATGCAAGAAAGATGAAGTGCAATGTCTCAAACACAATAGATTCATACTTAATTTCTCAGTATTTGTTATTTATGCTAATGATACTTATTCTTTCATCTATTTTCTATTTGATTGTATAGTTCCCAGTAATATATACACTCTGTTCATAGTACATCATATTTCTGAATTCTTAGCAACCATAACACACTGACATCAAAGGCCATTAAAAGGTAGTAACACTATGTAAAGTTCAGTGATCAATGCATTTCACATCGTAAACATTGTTCACGCAAGCTTTTAGACTATATATACTGTCAAAACCCTTTATTAGCATTCAGGTGGTAGAAGCTATGTAATCCAAATGTGTAATTTAAAGAGCTTTCTCTGCATTTTGAACTTAAAAGATTTTCAACAAAAAGTTCTTTTTAAATGTAATACAGGTTTCCTAACATATTCGTCCCATTTCATCAGCCTGGGCTGCCCTTTCTCCCCACCCCTCTCTCTCTCTCTTTTTTTTTTTCTTTTTGCCACAATGGTTAAACATGTCTGTAAAGAAGGGAATTTCCATGCACTTTGTAATACTGAGCTCAAGAATTTACCCAAACCATTTGACAACAGATTCTCTCCACTCAAACTGTGCATAAAACATACTAAAAGAAACTGCAGCTTTTATATTTGGGGGACTATTCTTAAACAAGAAAAAAAACTCATTTACATGGCAGTGTTGTCATTAACTTCTATTTCTACCTTTAGCCTATACCAAACTTTCTCATCCTCCTACAAGTTTTGCTGACTTGTTGAACTTAACCACGGTAAAATGTTCTTTGACTCTCATCAGTGATACTTCTTAGGTTGTTTTAACTGGATATTGTCTTAAACAATACTTTGATTTATCCCAATATTTTATTTCAAATAACCTGGGCCCTAGATAAATGTTTCCATACATCAAGCCAAAGTCAAAGTATTCCCATGACAACTAAAATCATATAATAGTCAATTTCTCATTTTATTATTTATATTAAGAGTTCCCAGTTGATGCAATTCAGTTTAACCTTTTATTTCTCTAATTTTGGTCAAATTAAATGGAAAAATTGCCAAGGTAGTAATCTCAATAAATGGTAAAATTATCAAAACAGCTTTTTTTTTTCCTTTTTTTTAGATGGAGTCTCACTCTGTCGCCAGGCTGGAGTGCAGTGGCGCGATCTTGACTCACTGCAACCTCCACCTCCCAGATTCAAGTGATTCTCCTGCCTCAGTCTTCCAAGTCGCTGGAATTACAGGTGCGCACCACCACACCCAGCTAATTTTTATATTTTTAGTAGAGACGGGGTTTCACCATGGTGGCCAGAATTGTCTCGATCTCTTGACCTCGTGATCTGCCTGCCATGGCCTCCCAAAGTGCTGGGATTACAGGCGTGAGCCACCGCGCCCAACCAAAACAGCTCATTCTTTAAAGTCATATAGAACCACTGATTATACTAAGGAAAAGATCACTGATTTAAAAATATTTACCTGTAGATGTGATTAAGAAGAAGGAAACAATCTATGAAAACTTAAAGCATTCACCATACAGAGTTCTCTGTTTGGGTTTGTGGAAACAATAGATACAAAATATTGGCATTTTACACACAATATCTGTGCATTATTTTTCCCAAACCCTATAACCCAGAGTGGGGAAAAAGGCTATTATCACAGAAAAAGAAACTCCCAGTAGGTATTTCCTCTCTTTCCTTTCAGAGAGTTGGTGTCTGTATTTGCCTTGTTTCTACGGCATTATGCCCTACTTCCTTTTCTGGGAGGGACTAAAACATGGTAAAACTTGAACCATGAGCACAATTACACAATGCAATAATACTCCTATTTACCTTGGCCTCTATGAAAAAGTTCAGATATTCTCAAAATCAACCATTGTGGTTGATGCACCTTTCTCTCAAGGTAATGTCAGAGATAGAAAGACTTTAGACACCAAGTAGTCTTACTTTCTCATTTGAAAGACAATGAAAGATAGGAGAGACTTGAATAAGACCATTCATTGAACTAGTGGCAGAACAAATCCAAGTTTCCTAGTTCCTGGGCCCACTACCATTTATATTTTCTATCATAATTTTCCTTAGCTTTCGAGCGGCAGTTTGAAAACCATGGCTATATAAAAAAACACTGGAGGAACTTTTGAAATATACAGATTCTGGCCCTATCCCTGATTCAGCAGGTCTGTGTGCAGTTCCTGGAAATCTATATTTTTCAAAGCTTTCTATCATTACTCTGACACACAGTCAGTGTTGAGAACAACTGTGGTTTAGATCAAGAGCATAAGCCCTCCTGGAACTGTGGCGGATCGCTAGATCCACAGTATCCTACAATGGGTTTTCAACCCTCATCTTCCTCATTTGAGCATGTTGAAGAATATCTGTCATCTCAACCATAACCATGCAAGCAAGCCCTTTTTTTATTATTATTATTTTACTTTAAGTTCTGGGATACATGTGTAGAATATGCAGGTTTGTCACATAGGTATACATGTGCCATGGTGGTTTGCTGCACCCATCAACCCTTCATCTAGGTTTTAAGTCCCACATGCATTAGGTGTTTGTCCTAATGCTCTCCCTTCCCTTGCCCCACACCACCGACAGGCCCCTGTGTGTGATGTTCCCCTCCCAGTGTCCATGTGCTCTCATTGTTCAACTCCCACTTATGAGTAAGAACATGTGGTGTTTGGTTCTCTGTTCCTGTTAGTTTGCTGAGAATGATGGCTTCCAGCTTCATCCATGTACCACAAAGGGCATGATCTCAATTATTTTTCTTTTTTATGGCTGCATAGTATTCCATGGTGTATATGTGCCACATTTTCTTTATCCAGTCTATCATTGATGGGCATTCGGGTTGGTTCCAAGTCTTTGCTATTGTAAATAGTGCTGCAACAAACATACGTGTGCATGTGTCTTTATAATAGAATAATTTATAATCTTTTGGATATATACCCAGTAATGGGATGGCTGGGTCAAATGGTATTTCTGGTTCCAGATCCTTGAGGAATCGCCACACCATCTTCCATAATGGTTAAACTAATTCACACTCCCACCAACAGTGTAAAAATGTTCCTATTCTCCACATCCTCTCCAGCATCTCTCATTTCCTGACTTTTTAATAATCGCCATTCTGACTGGCCTGACGCGCGGCAGGTGTGGACAGGCCAGCGTGAGACACACCCAGAGTAGGTGGGCACGCGCAGGCTGGGGTAAGGAGGACCCCAGCGGGTGGCGGGAGAAAGGAAGGAATAGGGACAGACGGCACCACTGGTCCAACGGCCCCCCGAGCACGCAGGCAGACAAACCCTTGTGTGGAGGGCTCACTTTCAATAGATGGCAGTGAAGAAGTTGCTCTGCTACTCATGAAACCCCGACCCAGAAGTCGGTTGTCTAGGAATGGTTTAGCGCCAGGTTCTTCACAAACGTGTGTTGCATGATGCACAAGGGGGTGGCTGCCTTTCTGGCCAAGGCCCGTTTTCCAGGATGAGGGGCTCTCCGCACCGGACCCCGGTCTGGCTCTCATTGTGGTTTTGATTTGCGTTTCGCTAATGATCAGTGATCATGAGCTTTTTCTCATGTTTGTTGGCTGCATAAGTGTCTTCTTTTGAGAAGTGTCTGTTCATATCCTTTGCCCACTTTTTGATGGGGTTGTTTTTTCTTGTAAATTTGTTTAAGCTCCTTGCAGATTCTGGATATTAGACCTTTGTCAGATGGGTGGATTGCAAAATTTTTCTCCCATTCTTTAGGTTGCCTGTTCATTCTGATGCTAGTTTCATTTGCTGTGCAAAAGTCCTTTTAAAGTTTTTTGTTCCTTTTCCTTCAAAATATCAAACTCACGTATAGTTCACAGACTGAGGAGAAAGTTACTGGACTCCCTTACGCCAAATTTCATGTTGAGTGGGCTTGTTTCCTGCTTCCTACAAAACCAAATTCAATTTACTCTCCAATGTCAGTTTTTGACACTGCTGTTTAAAGCATTTTTTTTCATTACTGTACATACGTTTCCTCATTCTAGGTTGTCTTTATGTTTTCTCAAGTTATATAAAGTCTCTTTTTGGCAAGCACATGCCAATGAACTATCTTTCTTCTTTTCTCTATTCGGGTTTTCTGTGCATCATTATCAGATATAATGATGAGGTCAGTGCTGTGAATCCGGCACAAATAGCAATTAAGACAGAAACAACAGCATTGTTATTTGGACTTCCTCTCTATTCCCCAGAATAACTGTCCAACTGAGTTCAAAATGGACATCAGTTGGGAATGTGTACAAGCAGCCAAAAGAACAGGCAGGTTCATCCTATGTCTTTGCTCAAAATTCTTAGAACAAGATAACAGCGTCATATCTCTGGCTTTGTGATTTTTTTTCCCCTCTGTCAAATCTGCCTGGAAAATTCCAAACATCCAAAATTAAAGCAACCATAACAATAACTTTTGTAACACAATTGAATCAAATAAAGAAAATATAAGGAATTATGGAGGGAATTTAAAAACAATCTGAGAATGATGTCTCCATCACCATCAGAGAACAGGGAGTAATAATATCTGGTTTTTTTTTTTTTTTTGGAGGATATTCAACTCTTCGAATCACTGGGGAGGCCAGATATAAGAACAGAAAGAATCTATGAAAATGAACTCTAGCAACTGTTCCTCCTTGATTAGCTACCAAAGGAAATCTGGAAATTTGACATAAATATACTGCTTTTCAGGATCAGCCAATAGCTAACATATACAACTGCTGCAAAACAAATTAATTTAACGTATACCAAACTAATCCTTTCTGGTGAGATCACAAGTTAGGCTTAATCAGAATTAAAACAAATTTCAGATCAAGAGTACAAAATCAAATCATCCAGCCAAGTACAGTAGCAGCACACTCCTTAAATGCCATAGTTGAGTTCCTGAAACTCTCAGAGTATCCATGTTGTAGGAATTTAAGACCTTTCAGGAAAAAATGAGGCAGGGATGTGAGTATTACAAAAGCCCAGACAATTAGTTTGTTCACCAAAATAAAACAATAAAATAAATATCAATGATATTTTATATTAGCAATAGTGGATATCAGGCAATTAACTTCCTTTGTGATCTCAAGATGAAGATGATAACACATCAATCAAAATGCTTGGTCATAGCAGTAGTAACAGGGAAAGAATAGAGAAAATTGCATTTCATCTGAAGAGATGTAAGCTCAGTCTTCTGCTCCTCTTTTATCCCCAGCACACAAATCACCACATCATCAGAGCCATCAGAGTCTGAATCCCAAGGTTTAACCATCTGTGTGCGGCATATCTACTTCCTGTTTTTCTGTTTGCAGAACGGGTTTGAATGACATGTCCTAATGTCAACCTCTTCTCCCCTTTCAAGTAAGCAGAGAGAAAAGACTTATTGGTGTTTGTTTGGAGGTTTATTACTACTGCTTTATAGGACTGTAAATAATCATCTAAGCCTTACCCGAAAGTCAATATGTAGTCCACCAAAGGACCTCTTTCTTTTGAATCACTGTGACAATTCCATTTGTGGAGTAGATACTTGAGCATTCTTAGAGTTCTGGATGTTAACGTATGCTGGCTTCTTTTATTGCCTTTTGATGTGATCACATCTCCAAAATATTTCTAAACTATCTTTTGACGGTGAGAGTCTAACAATTCAGTAATGTCACTTAACTCAATGTCTTCGAGGCCTTCACTATTCAAATGGTTTGCAGATGTTACAACATTTTCAATTTCTTCTACTACTGGAAGGAAACCTTCTGAATCAGTCACAACCTCATTCCAAAATTTCTGCCAGACTTCATTAAGTGTTGATTGTTTTATTTGTCTCACTGATTCTTCTACACCTGTTAAAGCATTACAAATGGAGAAATTTTGCCAAGCCACTTTCACAGTAAAGTTCTGGTGTCTCTGATAAGATCTGCGGGTAGTCGAAATACAGGCCGAGCGTAGTACATCAGAAACTTTAGCACTCTCAGAGGCATGAGTTGAAGGAGTGGAGTCGTACTGGGGGTAATGGAGATGACTTGAACACAAGGAGCAGCATTTATGACTGCATTTTTGTCTGTAGGAGCAGTGTCCAGAATCAGCAACACTGTGAAGTCAAGATTTTTTACTCTTTTAAATATTATTTAACCTCAGAACAAAACACTTCAAAGACCAGTTCAAAAAGAGTTTCTCAGTGATCCA